GCATGTTACCTTATCCTTGTGTTTGTAGAATTTTTATATTGTGAACTCGTATTACAGTGCTATTAAATGTAGTAATTGAGGGTTTGTGTGTGGTATTGTGTTGATCAAATAAGGTTTTCCATTTTTATGTTGTGGACTCTTACTACAGTGGTATTTAATTGAGAATCCTGATTCGGGAAAGGAAGCATGTTACTTGTTTGTAGAATTTTTATAGTGTGAACTCTTATTAGGGTGCTATTAAATTGAGTAATTGGGGGTTTGTGTGTGGTATTGTGTTGATCAAATAAGGTTAATTGGGTTTGTGTGTGGTATTGTGTTGATCAATTAAGGTTTTCCGTTTGTATATTGTGAACTCTTATAATAGTGGTATTTAAATGAGTATTTGGGGATTTGTGTGTGGAATTGTGACCGGCTGAGGGGAGAAATTTGTAACAAAAATTTTCATCAAGTAATTTATATTTTTTAAAGTTTGACGGTGAAATGATTATGAGTTAATTGATACAAGTAAGGGCTGAATTCAGCGTATGCAGTTTGAATTATAGTCGCAAAGCTGGAAAATAAAAACAAACAGAAAAGCTTGTTTATTGAGGATTTCTCAGTTCTCATTTCTCCACTCAGTGCTATTAAATTTTGTATTTGGGGTTTGTGTGTGGATTTGTATTTATATTTTTTGTTTGAAGTTAATTGTGTCAACAAAATTAAACATGATGCTTCTATTTTTCATGGTAGCTACATTGGTTATAGTTATGAGGGTGGTAGAAAACAAGAAAATGCAGCCATGGAACATATCCATTATCTTATTTGTTATATTTGGTGAATGAGATAAGTGAAATATGATTTGTGCAGTCTGCAAATTTTAAATAAAATATGGTTAAGCTTTTTTTTTTTTCCTTTTGTGGGTGCACTGCTTACTGGATATGTGTGCACTGCAAATATGTTTTGTGCAATCTGCAAATTTTAAATAAATGGTGGGTATGCATTTTTGTTGTTCATCCGCTGGGTGCACTGCTGACTGCATATGTGTGCACTGCTGCTTTAGGGGTGTGGCGAAGTTCAGTGTTTATATGGCACTTAGTATGTGTCCTTTGTTGTCATTTTAATTTTTAGTTTGGAATGGTTGGTGGATCATATGCTTGGTTGTGTTTGTTCTTTTTGCAGCTAAAAAGTCTAGGTGCGCACAATCGGATGCGGGTCTTTCTGGAGTATCTGATGGCGATAGTGATTTTGTGTCGCCCCCGCCTAGGGTGGTACATTCCAGTTTTCAGCAAGAGCCACCGCAGGAGGATGTTCCGAGTATGAGTTGACCGTTGAGGAGGATGCGTTGTATCCTAGGGCGAAAATGAGGGGACAAACGGGGGTATTGGTAAACGCCTTGAAGGATCTTAGCTTTCAACAGAAGGCTGACATTCGGGAGCTCGGGTTTGGGGCGTTGCTTGAGTTCAACATTGTGGACGTTCCACCGCGTCTTTTGCGATGGTTACTATTTAATTTTGATTTGCAGTCGAAGTCATTTGATCTTGGGGGTGGGAGATCATTGGTTGTAGATGAGAGTGATGTCGAGTTGATTTTGGGGTTTCCACGGGGTCATGTTAAGATGGTTCCACGGGATAAGCTTAAGGTGAGCAACACCCTCAAACATTGGAGGGGTCTATTTCAGAAGCGGAAGCACAGGGTGACTGCGGCGGAGATTAGTCAGAGGATGGTGGAAGCCGTTGATGGTGAACTCTGGTTTA